CGCTTGACCCCAGTCAAGCCCTGGACGCTGGAGGAAGTCATTGCCTATGTCGATCCCGACGAAGCTATCGAAGTTACTCCGACTCAGATCAGGCTGCGCAAGCAGGTTCTAGATCCCACGAAGCGCAAGCAGCTTTCGCGCAGGCGCGTCAGCGACATTGACGAAATGCTAGAGTAGACAAGATTTCACGCTTGCCCCAAAACCATGTCAAATACATCGCATGTGCAAAACGGAATCGCAAAATTAATGTTTTGACAATGCACAAAAAGAATCTACCAATACTCCGTGTATATACTGGCTATATTATGTCTGCTGAAAGCTCGCCGTTAAGTAAACGGCCAAAGGTTGAGAGAGGCGAGAGAGCTGGACAGCGCAAATCGCGGGATCGTTTGCAACCACCGACCGAGGGCGATGGCCGCTGTCACTTTTTGGTTCCAAATAAGAACCGCTATTGTCCCTTTAAAGTCAAAGCAGGGAGCAAGCTTTGCGGCGAGCACATGGTAGTATGCGGCGACATCAACGCAAAGTCCGAAACGCGCCGAGTGCCGTGTCCCTATGACCCGTCTCACTCGGTTTATCTGCACCGGCTGAAGGCACACATGGAGAAGCTTTGTAATGCCCGTCCGCCAGCCACTCGTCCCGCACACACTGTGCCAGACTGCAATGTGGCCTTGTTGCCGCCAGGCTACGCTGAGGGATCATTTAGTGAATGCGGGCAGCTGTGGGCTGAGGAAGGACTGGCAAAGGCAGACACGCGGCTCATGGTGCAGCCCGGCGAGCATGCCTATTTGGGCACCACAAACTCTAAATTGTTTGGTGATCTGCGCACCTCAGCGCAGGATAATTTGCTGAGCGCCACGGCTGCACCCCTGACAGAAGCCACCACCCACCGCCTTCTCCGCCCTGTAGTGTCCTCATACCTGCGGTCACTATCGGCGGCACCCGATAATATTGAGGAGATGGGGCTGGTCGAGCTGCTGGACCTGGTTCGGCCAACAGAGGACTTGCCGCTAGACATTTGCACGCATTCTGCCTTGGACGAACGCCGGCTTTTAAAAACAAATGCAAAGCATGTGCTGCAGCAGGCATCGTTACTTGGGCACTTGGACAAACGGGGGCTGTTGGACGCAAAGTATGCGTTTATTGAGTTTGGAGCAGGCAAGGGTGAGCTATCAGTGTATTTGCATGCTGCATTAGGCTCGGCATTGGCGGAGCAGGATAGTTGCATTTGCTTGGTGGATCGCAAGAACTTTCGGCAAAAGTTTTCTGTTGCTGGTGATGGTGACGACCAGGTTGCACTTGTGGAGTCCTCACGCGGCCACTTTACAAGGATACATATAGACATTCGCGATCTTGATCTAGCGAAAGTAGCAGAGCTTCAAACAGAAGACAAGACGACTGGTGCGGTCCAATTGCGCCCTATTGTTGCGTACTCGAAGCACCTGTGCGGCGCTGCCACCGACCTTACAATCAGATGCCTAGAGCGGTACCAGCAGGCCGGGGGCACGGTTGCAGGCATTGCGATTGCGCTGTGCTGCCACCAGGCGTGCAAATATTCGATGTACGTCGACCACGAATATCTGTCAACCGCGATGATGTCGGACTCTGGAGCTGGTCGTTGGGGTAGCAGCCAGAGGAGCGAGTTTCGGCACCTGATGGCAATGTCGAGCTGGGCTATTAACGCGCCTGCCCCGCCCCAACAGCAGGATCCGCAACAACAACAACAGAGGGATGGACTAGAGGCAGATCCAGCAGCTCACTGCTCCGGCTTGACATTCGACCAGCGTGTGCGTGCCGGCCATGCGGTAAAGCGGTTTATTGACATTGGGCGGGCGGCATACGTTCGCCGAGCGCTGAGTATGAATGATGTGGAGCTTGTCTACTATACCACCCGCTCAACGTCGCCTGAAAACCTGGCGCTGCTGGGGACAAAAGCGGCCCTCTGAGCAAAGCTATTTTTGGCACTTGGTCCAGACGGGCTGGCCCAGCGCAACTCTGCCATCTGCACATTGTTTTGGATGGATCTGCACCTGGCATAAGTGCAAGAAATGATAGGTGCCAATCTCGCGGATCCTGTTTTGCTTTTGAGCGCAAGTGGTGCTTTGCGTGTCGCCATACTCCGTGGTGGAAAAAGGTGTCGACGCCTTTTCAAGACAGCTGCTTCCTCTTCCTCTTTTTCTTTCTTCGACTCGTACACGCTTAGAGCCTCTCATACCTTTGATCTTTCTTCCAACTCCTCTATCCTCCCCCCTCCCTTCATTCTTTTATTCGACTTCACCCGTTTAAAGATTTCAATTATAAAATGAAGCTTTCCGTTTCCACGTTTGCCCTCTGCGCTGTGCTGGCCACTGCCGCTGTTAACGCCCAGAACACTGGTGCCGGAGATGCACAGACGAGCGCGGCTGCTAGCTCCAACGCCCCAAACATTGACGGCGGCATTGGCGACGCCATCAACATTATCAACAGCAACACACCGTCTCATACCACTGCGTCTTCTCCCACTTCCGCTGCAGCGGCTACGCCAGTCTCCGTCCCACTGACCGGCGTTGCTGCTGCTTCGTCCACTGCCGCGCAAAACAACATTGGATCCAACCCCGTTAACATTTCTGTTGTTGCACCATCACCAACTTCGTCCCCGAACGCGGTTGGCGGCGCTGCCACTGCCACCACCCCAGTCACCAACCCGACCTCGGCGCCGCAGCCACAAATTGGCGGAGGCATTAACATCACCAACTCTGGGTTGGGTGCGAGCGCTTCGACACCTGTGAGCGGCAATAATGCAGCCAATTCGATCAACACGAGCGCCGCTGCTACCACTTCAAACACTGGAGAGCAGGCTGGTCTTACCAATGACTCTGGTGTGAGTGAAAACGATGCGGAGTCGAATAGCGGCTCCCAGCTGCCTGCGCCATCTTCTTTGTCTCGCACCAAAACTAGCGGTGCTGCTGGCATACTCCCTTCCATGTCACTCACTGCTCTTGTGGCGGTGGCCATCTCGGCGATGTTCTTCTAGCTTGATTAGATGGCTTTGTTAGAATGATATTCAATTCATAACTATGAACCTCTTGCCGTAAGCGTTCGCACGAAAAGCGTACGACTTGCTATTCATATCTGCAGCTGGAATGCCGCCCTGCTCTCTTTCTTGGCCTCTTGGGTGTGTATAATGAGACTTTGGATTCAGGCAACACAGAAGTCTTGTTGCTAAATGAGCGTTTTTGCAAACAACCCCTTTTGCATCATTTCCCCAGAGTTCTTGGGTGCAACCGAAATGGATCCTTTTCTTTCCCATTCCCAGCTATTTTGCCACTTTTACTTTTTCCTATTGCAAATTATTGCTTTTTGCACACCACCCAGTTTCTGCTAATACAGCTGGAAAACACTATTTAATACGTTGTGTGCTGCAAAATAACTCTACAAACTATGCCAGATTTTTCCGCAAAGGTAGAGTTTGTATTCTTATTCGCGAAAAGTGACATTAAGGGTGGCAAAGGCGACTTGTCTCATGAAGCAAACTTTCACCCTAATCAAATATTAAACATCGATGCAATTAAGAACTATGCCATCAAATATCTGAAAAGCATCGGTAAGCCAGCTGTAGGCATTGAATTTTACATTGGAAGCCCGCCACATATTCTAAGCTCATTTTTACTTTGTGAGCATTGTAAAAACTTGAGCTTAAGCGGTGCAAATCGCATTGGTATACTAGTGGGTAAAATTGAAGAGATTGACAGACATTTGGCCCTCGTGAGAGAACGCTCGAGTACAATTGACCTTTATTGATTTTCGTCCTGAGCTGAGGTTGTTAGCACGGAGTGAAAGGCATGCAAACTAGATTTTTAAAAGCAGTGCCTCCCGTAGTTAGCATTTCAAAGTGTTAAACATTATTATGTGTCAATATACAACTAGTCTGGAAACAGCTTAAGCAGACCAACTTTATTATATAATAAACATTACACAATACCTTTCCATAGGAATTTCCAGCGGTCTGCTATAAGGAAAGAATTGCCACTCTAAACACTCTTGCTATAACATATATTGAAGCTAGCTGTAGCCCATTTGTTCGGTAAAGGCAGAGAGTACTGGCGTCAATGCACATTCAATAATGCAACTGTTACTTTTGTTTCTTATGTGACAAATTTGGCGCGTGATAAATTCAAAGGGTCCGCCTAAAACTGCATAAAAATACCATTAGCTCAAATTTTTCAGAGGTGAACTTGATTTGCGAGTCACAGTTTGCATCGTTTCCATTCGAGTGCATTTCTTTTACTAAGAATAGCAAAATGGATTGTGTGACTATCAAAAACAGTATAATCAAAAACAGTAAAGCTTTCAGTGTTATTTGTTGTTTTCTATTGGGCGAGAACGCTGCCAGGACTTGTCTTGGAGTTGAATGGTTGCTCTTTCAAGTCACAATGTGACTATATAGCACTTGTTGATAATTTATTCAACACGGATGATGGGTATAAATCCAAGAGCGCCATTCTATTTGTCAAATATCTTTTTTGTAGTGAAGAATAAACGTGGGAGCTTCTTGCTTTATTCTTCAATAGATATGCGGCAATGCCACGGCTTTATACCAAATAATTGTTACTAATAGATATTCTTGTCCCTGAGTTGTTGTTGCCCATGTCTTGTCTGTGCACATAAATGAATGTCTTTTCGCCTGTGTCTTTGATGTGTATGCACAGGCAATATGTGTTGGCCTTGCCTGTAATACACGTGATTTCGTCATCACAAATGCTATGATCTTTCCCTGTGTCACAATCACTACTCTGCTGTTGGCTGTCATAATACCAAGAGTGTTCTACTAAAAATTATAAGTGCATCCTCTAAATGTCTGCTGACATTGTTTTCAAATTTTGGTGCAGTATAATTTAATCAAGTGTTTAATCTACATGCTGTTAAATACTATTGTAGCAACTATATGTCGTTTAAACAGCATCTTAATTAAGGCCGCTATATCAGCAGCTTTGAAGTTTAGATCACAAATCAAACCTCTGGCCTGCTTAGCACAGTGGCAGTGCGTCAGTCTTGTAATCAAGCGATTAACTTGAGGACAGTCAACTGAAGGTCGCCGGTTCAATCCCGGTAGTAGGCATTTTGGAAAAAAATTATTTGTGTCTGCTTAATTTTTTGTATGGGTCGTTGCTTCTTTTTTTAGCGCAGCATTGAAGCGCTTGAGTGAGGGCCATTACTTACAAATCTCGTTATAGCCAACATTTAAAGAAATTAGTAAAGTTTGCTAGAATATACCTTTGATTGCGCATTTTAGTCTATGAATATAGAAAAAGCCCCAACAATATTATAATATATAAATTGTGTAAATGTGCGCATTGAGTGTAGTGATGGACAGCCATATTACTTTATTACAATTACATATCTGGTAAATATTAAATACTGCGGGCATCAGAGTCATGTTTGCTGTAGGAAGGCATGTCGACGAGCACAAACTGGGCACGGTCGTAGCCAATGTTTTTGATAGAAATTTGGGCGGCCGGGACAACGTCTTTCAAGTGAACGCCGTCGCCGTTTCCAAGCTGGATGGAACCGGGGAGCATGAGACGAGCGCCGCCTTGTCGTGTGGAGCCAGTTTTCGAAAAATCGCTAAAGACGTGGATATATATGCTGCGAGTGTCTGGTGTAATGGCGGGAGTAGCGTTGGTAGATGAGCGGTGCCTGGGCGATGCTGCGGTGGCGGTGGTTGCAGCTCGCCGGAGCCTTGGCGGCTCAAACACCGGCGGATCGCTGGTGAGGTGGTGCGAGGGAGCAGCGGTGTGGCAGACGGCGGCGCAGGGAACAAGGCGACAGATGTAGACAAATAAGTCGCTGTCGAGCTCAAATCGCGTCAGAGTGTCGGGCAGGACGGTCAGGGAGTTCGGAGAAGGGTTGATATAAGAAGTGAGATCGGGTTTGGGAGCAGCAATGAGGCATAGCTTGTTGAGGCGGTGGGCGGGCGGAATGTGCAGAGACTGGATCCAGGGGCCGGCCAGAGGCATGCTGCCCTTGATCCACAGCTCAGCACCCGTACAGGCAGCGATTGTATTGGGAATTGTGCATGCGCGGCGCGCGCCAGACCCAGCGTAGAGACACTGTACATAGTGTTTGCGGATGGGCCGGGTAGTGCTAGATTCGCCGCAGTACGTAGTGCCGTCAATGAGACTCGAATTGACTATGGTCAGAATATATATGCCGCTGACCCTGTCTCTGGACACGGAGCCGGTGGTTTGCGGCAGCCAAGCCTCGTAGACGTTCTTGAGGCGACCGATCCCCTCATCCTCCAGCGGCAGCTGATCCGCGTCAGACGGAAACGACTTGAGGACATGTACAGAGTCGGTGGTAATATACTGGCGCGACTCGCAGTTGTATGCGTCGTAGGAGGAAAAGGGCTCGTGGCGGTCTCGTGGCTGCAGAAGAGGCGGGTTGCGAAGGGTTGGCTGATCGCTAATGGCGGTCTGGTCAGAGGACGCAGCGGTGGTGTGGTTACTGGCGGCCGCGGCGGGGGGTTTGGCAAAGAGTGAGCGCGCGCTGTGGCGCCAGCGGAAAAGCACGTGCAGGCGGTCTCTGACCGTGCCCATTGTGTGCAATTAGAATATCAGCAAATAGGGCAGTAAAAAAAGTAAACAATTGGGTGACAAAAAGTGAACAAGCAATAGAGAGAAAAGGAGAATAGGAGAAATCGCTGCCGGGCAAACCTTAAAGTGCCTCGACTCGACTCTGTTGTCACCTGAAAGGGGTGGGGGTTGGCATGTGCGCCCAGACACCGACAAGCCGCATGGGGGGAGGGCGGCACGTGAGAGAAGGCAAGACTTACGCCGCGCAGCACGGGGAAAAAAAAAAAAAGAAAGAAGCATGATGGTGCAATTATACCACGTTTACTAGGTGGAGGACAACACACAAACAAAAAAGAAGGAAAGAAAGAAAGACTACTACTACATCAGGTGGGAATAATGGGCATGGAGGCTAGTTAGTGAGCAGAGACGCCACCAAAGGCCTCGGCATGGGGACGGTCCGGCAACGGGGGCTCTGGGTCCTCCTCCTCCTCCTCCTCCAACTCCTGCGAATGGTGGTGGTGGAGCTTGGCCAGACGCTTGGGATTGAGCTTGCGGCAGGCGGATTTTAGCTTTGACGAGAGATCGCGGACGGATGACTGGTGGGGATGGGCGGCGGGGATCCTGTATGACTTGAACTTTGTGGCGGTGCGGCGATAGCTGCTAAGACGCGGGGGCTCGGCGGGAGTTGTATCGGTGGAAGAGATAGGAAAGTCGTCGCGAATGGCGTAGTTCTTGTGGGCAGCAGCCATGACAGAGTGCTGGCTCCTCTGGCGGCGGTGGTGGTGGTGGGCGGCAGAGGACGGCGGCAGTTTTTTGCCCAGCTGGTGAGATAAGCGATCGGGGTCGACTGCGTAGTGCTCGGCTGGCGCGGGCTGGCCCATGGGCAGTAGCGGCGATGCGCATCTGCTCGGATAGGACTCGGATACAGATGCAGCAACGGCGGCGATGGAAGGTGTAGACCAGTTGTCCATTTCCACAGTTAAAAAAATATTGGTAGAGAACAGAAAAGGTGGAGTGGAGTAGTACAGGTAAAAGCAAGAGAGGGAAGGGGGAATTAATAGTGTGGATAGGATACCCTCCTTCCTCCCCGGCTCTTGTCTTGGGTGGAGGCAAGACGGCGGAGAGGAAAAGGGGGAGGAGAGCGGCGGTATGCCGTGTAGCGAATGAGGCGCGTGAGCAGGGCGGGGCGCGGAGGAGGGAGGCAATTTCAAGAGGCGCACTGCAAAAAGACACAGGAGAAGGATGTTGGGATCTGCCCAGACCGGTTCCAGGCGATTGTGTGGTGCTGTCCGAGATGCAAAGATCAGCCCAGCAAGAGCAAAAGGAAAGGGGGATTGTGTTTGGTAGTAAAAACAAAGGTATCGCAACAGACATACAAAGCTACCACAACAGATATAGGAGGAGTCCATGGCTATAGGGGGAGCTCACGGCCAGGTGAGCGCCATGTTGCGCAGCTTGCGCGCGCACAGCGTGTAGTAGTCGACGGGCATCCAGTAGCGCTGGGCCAGGCGCAGGGCGTTCATGAGGATCTCGAGGCGGTCCTGCATTCTGCGCACGTCGGCGGGGGAGCGCAGCTCGGGGGGCGGGGCGAGGTCGGCAAAGTCGTCGTCGGACAGGGCGTCGGCGTCGGCGTCGGAGACGGACGACTTGCAGGGCGGCGGGCGCGCGTGGGCGGACTGGTGGGCGTGGTGCAGGTACATGATGAGGGTCTTTGCGGCGACGAAGATGAAGTAGGCGGAGCCGGGCATCTGGCGGCGGAAGGGCTCCATGGCGGGAAGCAGGTCGAGGGGCGCGTCGTCGTCGCTCTCGGAGGGCGGGGCGTGGGGGCGGTCCTCGGCGTTGGTCTCGATGCGGATGTTGGAGTTCATGCTGCAGGCCAGCGGCAGCTCGGCCGGGGCGCCGGCGTCGGCGGCGGGCGCGCGCGCCAGGGCGTCGAGGAGCGCGCGGTTGAGGCGGCATGCGGCGCTGGCGGCGGCGGGCAGGAAGAGGCGGCGCGCGGGGTCGGCGGGCGCGGCGGCCAGCCAGTGCGACGCCAACAGGTCGGCGACCTCGCAGGCGTGGCGCACGGTGGCAGCCCAGGCGTCGCGCGCGTCGGCGCGCAGCGCGCGCATGGCGTGGCGCGGCGGGTGCGACGGCATGCGGAGAAACGGCTTTGCCGGCGGCGGGAGGTGGGCGCGGCGCTCCAGGCACGCGTGCAGCTGCAGCACCACGGCGCGCGCGTGGGCGTGCAGCGTGGCCAGCAGCATGCGGTGGTTCGCGTACTCAGCGCGGTCGGGCGAGTAGGCGCCGTCGTCGTCGGCGCCGCGCGGCGGGAACATGGCCTCGAGGTACACGCGGCACAGCGCCAGCTTGGCGTCGGCGTCAGCCGTGGCGGCGCGCAGGCGGCGCAGCCGCACGTCCCACGGCGCCGGCGCCGCGCTCTCCTCGCCCAGCTGGCTCGGCCACCGGCTCGGGAAAAAGTCGCGGAACAGCGCCAGCCGCGCGCGCGCCAGCTGCGCCACCACCACGGCCGAGTGCGCGCGCAGGTGCATGCGGTTGCGCCGCCGCCGCACGCGCACGAGCAGGGCAGCGACGCGGTTCGGCTCAAGCGGGGGCGAGCCGGGCGAGCCGCTGTCGTAGGTCTCCGTCCGCAGCGTCCCGCCCGAGTCCACGTAGTACCGCCCCATGTGCAGCAGCAGCCGCTCGGCCTCGGCGGCGGCGCGCGGGCGCGGCGAGGCCCACAGCGCGTCGCTGCACGGCATGTGCGCCCACCCGGCGGCCAGCGTCACCACGGGCGGCGCGCCGGCGGCCAGCCCGTGCAGCCGCTCGGCGTCCACCAGCGCCCACCGCATGCGGCGCTGCTGCTCGCGCGCGACCCACGCGCCGTCGCCGCCCGCGTCCGCGCGCCGCGCCGCCGCGCCGTGGTGCGCTGGGCTCTGGCGGCACGTGACGCGCGAGATGGCCGACTCGTGCAGCCCCAGGTGCGACGTGTACGCCGGCAGCTGGAACGCCTCGTCGCCCAGGTGCAGCTGGCGCTGGTTGAACAGCCGCGCCGCCGTGCCCCACAGCGCCGCGCCGCGCAGCGCGTCGCCCACGCCGAACGCGTGCTCGCCCAGCAGGAACGCCGCCTGCACGTGCGCCAGCGCCGCGCTAGCGCCCAGCAGCGCGCGCCCCGCCGCCGCGTACGCGCGCCCGCGCTCACGCGGCGCCCCGCGTCCCGGCGCGTACCGCGCGCCAATGGCCAGCACCGCCAGCACCAGCGCCGCCGCCGCCGACGCGTCGCGCACCGCGCGCTCGAACGTCGCGCGGTGCAGGATCGGCCACTGCGCGTGGAAGCACGCAAAGTACTGCGCCACCAGCCGCGGCGTCTCGTCCAGCGCCGCCAGCTGCCGCGTGCCCAGGCCCCTCAGCCGCCCGTAATCCGGATCGCCCGCGCCCTCCGCCCGCCCGCAGTCCGGATCGCCCTGGTCGTCCACGCCGCCCGCCGCAATCTGCTGCCGCGACAGCGCGCCCAGCCCGCCGTGCCCCGCGCCCTCGCCCTCGCTCGCGCTCTCGCCGCTTTCGTCGC